CCCCCCCCAAAAAAAAACCCCAAAAAAACAACAACAACAACAACAACAACAACTCAACAACTCTCTTAGCTATAACATTTCTGTGATCTTGGGCAACTTTCCAATGCTGCAACATTATTTCTGTAACACACTTTCGTTAGTTCCGCGCCTATGTCTGACTTTGAAATGATATTTATTCATCAAGTCTTATGCAGACCACATGTTTACGCTCCACAGATCTCTGAAGACAATACCAGCCTGGATTCACTGACTTTGGAAAATGGAAAGTTCAAAGTTCATAATTATCCCTGGCCCCCAGGGGAGGTCAATGTCAAGGTTGGGATTTTAGCCAAGTTGTGTCACTGCCTCACACGGTGAGTGGTCTGCGGTTCACACCCTGCCTTTACATGTGTTTCTTTTTTAACATAATATACAAAATAAAAATGTAGCCTAAACGAAATGAAGGATAACTAAGTACTTATCTTAACAGTGTGACATTTTATGACCCTATCATAGCCACTGTCTTTCAAGAAAGAGCTGGTGAAAAAATCGTCCCTGGGATCCCTATATTATTATTATTTATATGACTAGATCTAGTACCCTGAAAACAATACATTCGAGACGCCATTAATGCTTCAATGACTTCAAGTATTAAATCTAAATCTGGGAATTGAATGCGGACTGAAGATTAAACTTATTCAAGGGTGAACAGAGAAATATTGAAGGGTGAGTGGGTTTATCTCTATGTTTGTAAGGGAGAAGAAAGGGCTGCTTTGGTCATTTTCTTTTGACTACGGTATCCCACTTTTGATTCTTATTTTGTTTTTTACTACATCATTCACCACCCACGACGATTGTCGTCACCACATTATCACTTGAATCTTTCAAAACCTCCTTCCTTTACTTTCTGCCCTTCTACTTTCGTCACAAACACATTTTGTTGGTTAAGTACATGTTGCACTATATCACTTCCTTCAAGCAAAAAATGAAAAATAAAATAAGATAAAATAAAACTTAACCAAAACAAACCTCTTCAAAATGGTTTTACTATACATGTACTTTCATTATTTCCAATATATCGTTTGTTTCAGAACCAAGGACGGGAGAGGCAGGATGAAGGGGAAGCTATCCATGTTTAGCAACAGCGTCAGCCAAGTCGACAGAGCAGCGAGAGTTCTCTTCCCTTTGACGTTCACAGTCCTCAATGTCATTTATTGTGTTTCTTATTATCTTTGGGCTTTTTCTGAACAGTAAAAGACTCGAACTGGAACTTATTTTGAGTTGATATTGCCTTTGCATGATTAAAGACTTAGGAAGGAGTGGGTGGAGAGAGAAAGAGAGAGAAGATGAGAGAAAGAAAAGAGAGAGAGAGAGAGAGAGAGAGAGAGAGAGAGAGAGAGAGAGAGAGAGA